TTGTTTCCTTATAATGCCTGCACGTTTAGAGGGGTAATTTGTACCATGTTTCATAAGGTGCGTACAGACACCGCCAACTAAGGCCAACGAATGAGATTTGGCCTTCGAAGAAACCAGGGCTGGATGGCATCCAGTGGATGCTCCCGTGTACGAGTTTTGGTTCGTCCCGCGCATGACGTCACTTGATGAGTAGTTGCCGTGAGAATACACGAATAATAGTAATATTATCAAAGAAAATAAAGAAATATCTGGACATAGTGCGTTTTTATTAAACTTAATATTGAAGAAAGTGTTATAATATGGATAATAGATGCTTTCAGTCCTTGATAACATTTAGGGCTGTAGCGTGTAAGCGTGTAAGCGTTGGTGTTTTAAATTAAACTTATAGTCACTGTCCAGAAAATGTTTATAGGAAACAGAAGCGGCCTTAACTTTAATATTGTCTATTCTTTTTGGTATTTAAATACTGTTTCCACAAATCTTTTTCGGGAATCAATTAAAATTAATGTTTTTATTTAAAGGGTTTTTCTTGGACTGGTTGTCCGAATTGCATCCAAATATGCCACACCGCATTTTAATAAATGGAAATGGCACGACACAAACTAAAACACAAACAAAACAAGTTAACGCAACACAAAAACAATAATAAACAAACAGAACAGGTTAACACAACGCAATAACAATAATTTGAATACTGAAAAGTAATTCTAACCTTACCGAATACAAGAACAACAAGTTAAATAAAAAATAGAGCAAGTTAACATCCAACAGCATCGCAAAAACAAGAATTTTAGCAGCAGATAATTAAAAAGCACGTTAGAGATTTAAAAACACTCATCAAGTGACGTATTTAAGCCCCGCCCAACATGCGCACCATCCTATCTTAAGGTGTATGTATCTTGGAAGAAACGTACATATTAAATTCGCTGTCTGGAGCAAACGTTCGTTGGGCGTGAAACAGCGGTTTGCCGGTTTGTAGGTATTATAATATATCGTACCTTCATTTGCAAGCTAACCATAGTGAAAATACATTGTAACTTGACCAGATAAGTCGCAGTCAACACAAAACGAGAACCTTTTCAGAAATGATTTGGATGCGTCGTCGAGACATGCGTACTAAAACAAATTTTACCAGATTTACTGCTTGTGCGGTGTAACACCGCACAAAATAAAAAACAATAATAAAGCATCGATGTATGAAGCAAGGTCAACTGTTACGGCGCATGCTAGCCTACTCGTCCTCGCGTCTAAATCATTTTTACAACGTTTTTCGCTTTGTGCTGACCAAGACTTATCTGGTCCAGTTACAATGTATTTTCCCTATGGTTAGCTTGCAAATGAAGGTACGATATATTATAATACCGGTACGCTTATGTATGACAAAGTTGTTATTGCTGCTAGTCCTTTTAAACCTCTCAATAAAGAAGAAGAAAAAATGAAGTCAGTGGAGATTCCATATTTTTTTACATTTGTTAATGGTATTAAATGTTTTGTCAATTTCTGTAATTTTTTAGTTTATTTTTCATATAATATAAACACTTTGTCGTTAGACCACTTTTTTGACTAAAATGGCGTTTATCAAACCTGATACATTGACGAGCTGTGACTTTATGACGTTCTAGTCACGGGCTGAAGTTGGCTTTATTATAAATTGAGAAAGAGTGAGGTTAAATTCGGGTGACAGTTGACAGATGTAAAAAATTTAACAAATAAAATTGGCTTTTAATACTGTTTTGTGTTCATCGTAGATAAAGTATAGTATGCACCTCTTTTATAAACTTCTCTAGACACTCGTTTTTATTAAACACTCGCTCGCGCTTAATTAAACTTGTAACTAAAATGGCGTTTATAAAACTTGTTACAAACTTAATATAAAATACTATTCTTTTAAATCGTATTCACTATCAATAAGGAATCAAAATTCAACCATATTTTATTTGACAAACTACCTTTATTTTGCGATAAACTATGGTGAAGTCTCCAAGCTCCGTATCCGCGTCTTTAGGCATTTTTTAAAATATAAATAATATAACTGAAAAATGTAGTGGTCGGTAGGTTTACTTGAAACCGCTTACTATTGCTAATATATTATTTTAAAAAAACTTATTGATAAATTTTAAAAACTAATTTTGATTTTTGATAAAAATATATTTGTAGAAAAGAGTGCTTTATATACAGGGTGTCCCAAAAGTCAACGATATCCTTTGGAGGACTGATAGACCAACTCATGGCTAAGCAGAAAATCAAAATATAACCTTAGTAAAAAATCGCTAGTTTTTGAAATATAGTCATTTTTATGAATTTTGTAAAACTTGACACCTTAGATCAGTTTTTCGAGTGCCACAGCTACAAAATCTACTATTAATTTAATTTTGAATTAAAATTAATAGCAGTCCTATTCAGGGTTACGCAAAATAAAATATAACCTAAGAATATAAAATGTTGTAGTTGTGACACTCAAAAACTGATTTTATGTGTCAAGTTTCACAAAATTCATAAAAATGCCAATATCTTAAAAACTAATGATTTTTTACTAAGGTCATGTTTTGATATTCTGATTAGGCATGAGCTGACCTATTAGTCCTTCAAAGGATATCGTTGACTTTTGGGACACCCTGTATATTGATAAAAAAGTTCCAAACATATTTTCCATTATAGGTACCAGTGCCGGTTTAACAGGGGTTTTTTGGGGACTATAGCACCGGGCGGTAAATATTTTTGGGGCGGTACCGCGTACCGCCCATAATTTAAAAAAAAATACTTAATCGTTAGAATTTAGAAAACAAATTATTGCGACACTGCGTCGGCGGATACAACGAATACAAATGAGAAAAATGTTGTTAGAGTTAAAGCAGCTTCTCCATCAGAAAAACTTGATTATTGGAAACGGAATAATTTGAACTTTTTGGATAGACGTTTTGCAAAGGGTTAATGAAACCATTAAAGCAGTCCAAAAACAAAATATGGATTTAAGCACAAATGCTCATCTTTTGTCATTTTTAGTTGAGAACTTTGATTTTTTACGTGATATCATTTTGATCATTACGAGGAAATTAACAGGAAACAAAATTATGCTCAGAAGCGGATAATCATAAGAAAATTACAATTTGAAGAAAATAATTCAGAGGCAAGTTTAAGCAAAAAAGAAACAATATGTTTTATTTTAATAATTGACAATCTATAATACAAAATCATTTGTCGATATGATAGCTAGAAATCTGGCACAAACAAATTTGAATTTTTGTTTAATCTAAAAGCATAAATCTTCGTGGAGGATTTGGATGAGTTTTTCCTCAAAAATGTGTCCAACTCAAGAAACTGATAACTTCCCTTTCGGAAATAAAAATAGAAACTCCATTGGAATTAGTATAAGTTTTATACGAAAATAAATTAATATCTTCATTTCCGAATATTAATAATTGTCTGCGAATTTTTTTTATAATGGTTTCCAATGCAAGTGGTGAACGATCTTTTTCTGCTCTAAAAAGGGTAAAGAACTACCTAAGAAATACAATTCCCCAAGAAAGATTTAACTCCTTAGCAATTCTATCCATTTATCAAGACCTGCTAGATGAAATAAATGTAAAGTGTTATAAAACAATTTGCTACTATAAAGACTTGAAAACAACCTTTTAATTATTAGTATTAGGATTTCTCAATATTTATTTAAACCAAAGAATAATGTTTTATTTATTTATAACTTTTGATTAGTTTTTCTTAGTACTTAATATTGTTTATATAAACCAAAGAATGTTTTATTTTTTAGTTAGTGCTTTTGATTAGTTTTTATAATTTGTTTACAAAGGCTCATTTTATATTTTATAGGATACTAAGTTTACTGTTAGATACCAGCCTAACCAACCTAATCTTCCACTTGACGTGAGAAAGTAAAACTTAAAAATTTAAAAATGTTTTTAAAAAAGTAATATTTTAAAGCATTGGGCGTTGTGTTTTTGCCAGAACCGGGCGGCGAACTAACTTAAACCGGCACTGATAGGTACGGTATGTACCTATAAATACCAATAATAAAGAAAGTTATCATTTATCGATTTGAGAGTATTTACTCGTAAAATATTTCTGTATACATATTATTAGTATGTATACCTAGGTAAGCAGGTATGTATTTATATATAGGTACATATTATGTTTATGCATATTTTCCAAAAATTGTTTTATCTTGCAGTAATTGATAAAACAGAAACAATAGGCAACTATTTCATGCTAAAATAATCATAAACAAATTTTTTAAAATAACAGTTTCAAGCAGTACTTGTTTGTTGTTGGGTGTGTTTAAAATATAAGCACGTAAGACTTTTTAACTAATGTAGGTATGTTTTAAATTTGCAATTCGTTGGCCAGTTACGAAAGTTTTCTAATAAAATAATTTATTATTAATAACTTGACAATAAATCCTGTTGTTCTTGATATTTATAAAAAATAAATATTCCACTGCATATTTAAATGTAAGAACTGGGTGCTTGTTGCTAAGAAGAATAGATAATTAAGTACTTTGGTATACATACAAGATTTATATCATAGATGACCGAAGGTTATATGTTATATCTCGTTACAACAGGTTATAAAAATAAAATAATTTTAATATATTTTCTGACTGAAAATGTTTCAGATTAGAGAATTAGTAAAACCTCAACTTTTTTCAGGAATAAACCAAATAAAATGCAAGGTTCATGCTAAATAAAAATGGGAATATTTCTCTTACATAATTATATTTCCGATTGTGGTTAATCAATTTAAATATTTTTTGCGATTATTTTTATAACAGGTATAATATAAATAGCCATGGACTTATCGTTTCTATTAGTAAGTCAATAACAAGGTTTAAAAGAGTCAATGTCAAAACAACATGCATTAACAATGATTAGTTGTGGTAAATCAATCTTTTTAAAAACAAACACAGTAATGTTTTTATATATTATTTATTATAGATTGATCTATTTATAAAATAATACAAAATAATAATTATTTCATTCTTTTTTCAGAACGAAAAGAATGAAAGGACCCGCCAAGAAAGAAGAAACTAAGAAAGTACCAACCCGAATAGATAATGAATCGAAAGCAGGGAAAATCAAGAAAGCATTGTCATCGTGCATATCCTCAAAAACCTATTTAGCGCCAACTACATACGACGAGGCAAAGGCAACATGTAAAGCGAGAAAAAGAAAAGAGAGACAAGAGAGCATTAGCTCCCTATGTCAAGACAGAAAGGTAATTAGATCGAATTCGGAAGAAAGACCAGCTCAAAGAAAGTATATAGAAAAAAAAGATAATATAAGGAGAGTATCCAGTAGTGAGGATTTTAAGAAATCTGCTTCTATAGAAAAGATAAATGTTTCTCCCAGTAGGTATTCTTCAAACGAAAAAGCAATGGCTTACGAAGATTACGAGTATGAAAAGAGAAGATCTCATGAAAGATTTTCTAGACCACTTGCACTTAAAAGCAAGAGGACGCATCCAAACAAACGTTTAAAAGTTAGATATATTACTAGAGCTAAGTTTAAACCTGAAGTTGATCAGACTAAAGAAAATCACAAATATGATTTAGATTTGAATCACACGGAAAATGCAGAATCACCCCAAATTTCCAAGTTTTTAAGCAGTTTACAAAATCCCGAAACCGAAGATGAAGATCGAGCTCCAAGCCCTATTACCAGCCCTATATCGCCAGTATTAGATTTGAAGACCTTACACGAACAAATAGACTGCTCTGAACCAGCATTATCCAATTGCAACCAAAAACCTGATGATGAACCTCAAAGTCCAAGCATATCTCTTGCTAGTAACAGGTTATTGTTATCGCCTAGAAACTCTATTATAGCTACGCATCGAATCTATTTGGATAAGGATGTTCCCCAAATTAAGATGACATTGGACAATAAACCAAAGAATCCTGTGGATGAACGTATGCAAAAGTTGTCCAAAGATATAAATGCGTTGAAAAGAAAAATTAAAAAAAAGGAAGTGGAATTTGAAAATAAAAATGGTTTTAAACCGTCGCATGTGGATAAACTAAACGATGGTTCAATGAAAAAGTTATATGCTGAATTAACTAAGTTAAAGAAGGAACAAAGACAACTCACAGAAGTGTCGGATAGTTGTTGTTTAATACAAGGAGATAATGGCAAAGAAGATAAAGTAAATATAAAGGAGACCATTATGGATTTAGAAAAGGTAATATATATTTAATTACCATACCTATTTTTAACATTTTATTTTATAGAAATTGACGTTGAAAAGAGAATCTGTAAACAGAAGCCATCATATTGAAGATATGACTCCCGAGCAGTTGGTTGAAGAAAAAGTGGCCATACAGAAAGCTCTTTTATATCTGGAATCGTTATATGGACGACCGAATAATAAAGAAGATCGAGACATCGTTAGACCTTTCTATGATCGATATAGAACATTGAAAAGAATGGTGGCAAAAGTTTCAACAGTAAGAATAATAATTCTTATATCTTATGAATAATTATTAATTGTTTATTTTAATTTACAGCAAGCAAGTTTGGAATTGGCCACAATCCACGAAGACGAAACAATGCATTTTATAACTCCCCTACCCACGCAATCGGAAAACGAAGAAGATAAACCAAAAGTTTCAACTTCCTCGAGTACAGATAGCGATACCGATGTTTCGTCGATCAGTGAAAATTATCATTCTCTAACCATAGATGAACTTTTATCTGAGTTAAAACTTGTTACCGAAGAAAAAAAAGAATTAAGAAGAACTATTAAAGTTTTTGAATCTAGTTTGCAACTGAAAACAGGAAAAATGATCCTAAAGGAAGATAAAGTGCCAATGGAGTATGTGTATCATTCGTATAAGAAAGCCAAGGCTAAATTAAGGCTGCTTGAAGCGTTGGTTGGAAAACAAAATTAGGGGATATAGTCCTTACGTGCTGGCCACGTATAAATTAAAATCTGTTTATCTAGTTTTTCTAGAATTAAATAAAATGTTATGTGTTAACTTTAATAATAACAATAAGTTAGATCAATGTTTTCGAAAAATATTGTATTTATTTAATGTTATAAGAAATTATTTTAAGTTTTTAAATTGTAATAATGGTGAGTTTATGAACTAGAAAGTTGGTTTTAATATACTTACTAAACACTTTCTAAACATCGTTAGATTGTAAACTTATCATTACATTTTGAGAATACGTTTTTGACCAAACCATGTGACTATAAATATTACAAAATTGTACAATTATTGATTATCATAAAATGTCTATGGAAAATTTTAAGAGCACTAATAAATGTCTAAGATCATAATTAGGTACCTAAATATGTATATAGTATATGTATACAGCAAAGTGTGAGTACATTCTTGTAAACATTTAAAAATTAAATAATATCATTTAAATTAATGCATGACAATTTTTATTTTCAAAGGCAGTTAAAATAATTGTTATTAAAATAATTATATAAGAAACTAGATGCCTAACGTTATCAATGTAAAGCTATAAGTTTGATGCAGCAAAGTCATCAGCCTAATGGAGTAATTAAATTCTAAAGGTTTGAATTGGTTTATTCTAATAATTTTAAGGAATTACCCATAAACATACATCTTTACAATTAAATTACACCATAAGGCTGATGAAGTGTCAAAATTACAGTGTTTCGACTTTAATTAATTCGTTTAAAAATGGTATACATTATGTATACCATTTTTAAACGAATTAATTAAAGTCGTATGTATAATACATACATCCATATTGTATTGCAATTTCTTAATCCTATTAAAAATATCTAAAAAATGATAAGAAAAAAACAATATTGCGTGAAAATGGGAAATACAAATTTGATATTTCACTGTCAAATTTAATTCTTTATAATTGGCCTAACTGGAATAAAAAACTATTATCCCCATCAATTTTGGAACTGATTGGTAAAATTGTGTGATCATGTGAACTAGCTGTTTCACTTTTTTATATCTATACCTACGAAACTGATGTTTTTGTAAATAAATTGGTAATAAAAATCCGTAGTGGCATCAAATTGTACAAAACTAAAACATTAGAAGCTAAGAGCTGTTTAGATTTTTTAATTTTTTTGGTTAACAATGTTAACTTAACATTAAATAAATAAATTTTATTAATAACAATACATTTTTTAGTTGTAGTAGTTAATTTGTGTGAAAACAATAAAGGATTATTGAGCTCAACTGGGTTTTTATTATTTTTAAATAGTTTTGTATTGTAATGGTTTCCGTAAGGCAGTGCCTCATCATAGAGAATTAAAAAAATTAGTATAATTTAAATATTTTACTCTATAATATACTATAAATTTTTAATATTTGGATTACATGAATTGTGAAATAGTCAATAAATTAATTGGTTTTATACGTGGAATACCCAGCAACATTTAAATTATTTGAATTTGAAACGACCGCAATTTAAACTAATATTTATAGCTAGATGATTGGCTCAGAAGCATGCCTGAACTAATTTAGACTCACGATTGGCGTTAGCCTTGTTGTCTCGTTCTATTACAATGCGATATCATAGTTGTCTCCTTCTCTCGTATTAGCATACGCGATCCAAGGAAATAAGCAGGTACACGTGTTGTGGCAACACTGTTGCGGAATTTTAGATAAATTATAATTCACACGTTTTTTAAAATTCAATAATAAATGGTATTATTTTTCTTATAAAAAATCGATTTAATCTAAATTATATTTCTATTATAAAATAAACATATGTGGGGATGGTATCTCCCACCTCCCTCTCAGTGGCGTGAAGCGCATGCGTCGAGAGGAGAATAAATAGTATAAATTCTTTTATCTGTGCGTTATCACTGGGAGGGGAGTGTGTGGGGATGGTATCTCCCACCTCCCTCTCAGTAACGTGAAGCGCATGCGTCGAGAGGAGAACCAGTACCGTTTAGAACTTGGCAATGTGCACATCGCTCGTTTGTAGTAAATGAAAATAAAGTTTCGTTATTGTTAAATCCGAGTATCACTTAACTTCTGACAGCACGGTGCATGTGGGTTAATCAAGCACCTTAAAAACCCCACACATATTTTAACACTATCGCCATCTTGTAGCCATCACAGTAACCAATAAAATAAATACAGATTCCTTCCTTAGGTTTGTATTGGTTATAAAATTCTGAACTGTTTAAAGAACAAATCTGTGGTTATTTACGCAATATTTTGTTTATTCTTTTTCAATGAGTTTGTCTATTTTATGATTCTTTTGTAAGTGGTTTATTCTGTGGGTTTAGTTAATTGAACTTGGTGATTTATGTGAATTTAGTCATTATGGATATTACGGTTAGAAATTGTACCGATATTTTTGACCTTCACGTGGTTCTTGCTGAACAATGAAATATTAATTAGACAAAAATGAGGTTTATTTAAAATAAACGTCATTTTTACAATAAAATATATTTCATTGACAAAGTAGAGGATTCCTTCCCCACCACAGTCTAAGTTTTTTACTTAGTTTTAAGTATAGGTTGTGAACTGCGACGTCAGTTTTTTAAGTTGGGTTTAAAAAAATTTCTTCGCCTTTAAATGAGGGCGAAACCCTGCCTCTGCCTCACCAAAGTGAAATGTCACGGGCCGCCACTGCTTACCAGTGGTAATGTAACGCGCCGTATTAAGCCGCTGAAGAGGGGATCTAAACTTGGGTCACTGTTCGACAGAGAGGTCGATATAGAGACAACGCGAGAGAGGGCTATGCGAATCGTTCGGTTTTCTGCAAAATTAAGAAGACGCCGGTAATTTTTATTAATTTATTCAGTGTACGAGACTATTTTATTATCAATGGTTAAGACTTATTTTGTGCCTACTTGTAATGGTGGGTAAAAAAGTTGTTTAGAGAAAGTGTCTCTATTTAAACTTTAAATTTTAAAGTGCCAGAGAACAGATTAATTTTTTGGCAAAAGAAAGATTTTATTTGTAAAAAACATTTTAATAAATAACTTATAATTAGAGAAGTTCAAACTGAACTGTATACGGTAAGTATCAAGTAAAATAGGTAAAATTATTTTATTAGCATTGTAAATAAAAATTATGATACTACAATCATTGTAGTAACTACATAATAATATTATAATGATAAAAATTAACAAAACTGCGTTGTCACAATATTAGGTAAAATATTAGATATTATTTATATTATATTTATTGTATTATTAGGTTGTATTTTAATTTACACATAATATTTATTATTAAATTAAACTTTTTTACGATTTGTTTGTAAATTAAAAAATGTCAGTCATATGATTATGTAGACTTAAATATTATTTATATTATATTTATTATATTACTAGGTAAATATTTTAATTTATATAAAATAGTTTAATATGTATACATATTATTTATTTTTAAATTAATCTTTTTTATATTTTGGAACATTAAAATGATAAAATGATAAAATTATAAATTAAAAAAGTTTAGTACCCCTTGAAAATCCTAAATTGTCTGACGATGAAATGACCCACTATATTCCAAGGATGTCCTACGGTGGGACATCCTGGAAATATAGTGGGACTTCCACCTATCTCCATAAAGCGGTCAAAAAGCGAAGGATGATTATAATTATAATTATAATAATTATTAAACAGCCTACAGTTGTAAAAAAGCGTAAAAAAAATAGATAAAAATCTAAGCGAGAATCATCAATGTAAGTAACTTGCTAATAAATGACAAATTGCCAAAAAAACGTGGACAACTTTAAGCTTTAGTAAAAATAAAAAGTAGATATTATTTTTTTCTGTTTTTTCAAAATTGTGTTAAGACTAAACAAATAAACAAATAAGTTAGGTGATATATATATTTTTTATCTCCTTATATGAATTTTATGAATGTTAATATTTTTTAAAGTCATCGACGTCTTTTTAACGACCTTTTAAATATACTAATGTCCTAAATTGCATTCAAATTTTTTTTCGGAAATATTTTGTGTAAAAATAATAATCATTGAGATACAAAATTGTATTAAATTTAAAGTTTTAAGATGTTGTCCAAAAATTGTTTATCTTTGCAAATAATTTTTTCTACATAAAAGATTATTATTTTTGCCACTACCAAATTAATTTTGAAAATCGGCGTATATTCGACTCACTCTATTTATCAGTTTAAATTTAATTTGTTTTTAATAATTTTTATTACCTCATGCTAATAAATAAAATTTAGAAATGTTTATCGTTTTACTGTCCCATCCTCTTTTATATGTTTTGTTGATAAATTAGTATTGATAGGTAATTGTGCATAAAGTAAATCATTATTTTACTATATTTTCCTCTTTTATAAGTTTTCTGATATTAATTATGCATAAAGTAATTTATTAAATCTATTTAACTGTTTTTAAGATGATATTATTGCAGTGCATGTTTCTTTAAGAAAAATGATTAATAAACTTTCAAACCAAGGTTTCTACTACACATTTAGAAAAATGATGGTACATTATGGTATGCACCAAACAAATAATTATGGCATACATTATGGTATATTTTAGGACTTTAAAATTCAACAACTAGGCACTTTAAGAAAAGTCATATTTATTTTAATACAAACTTTGATAAAATAAAATAAATTAGGTACAAACAAAAAAATAAACTTTGGTAAAAAATAATAAATTATTTTAAATTTAATAAATTAACACTTTTAATTAAAAATAATATCGCATTCATCTCAGTCTTGATTATTGAATAAATTATCTTTAGTTATGTATTTGCACATTTTTCTTAGGGCTCAAAATTTATACAATTTTTTTTTTAAATTTTTATACCGCTCTAAAAAATCTTTTCTTAAAAACCACAGAGGTGAAAAACAAAAGTTTGAATAGAAAAGAACATAACAGTTATAACTGCTGCTAAGGGGTCATCCATTAATTACGTGAGGCAATTTTGACGATTTTTCGACTCTCCCTCCCCTTGGTGAGATGTCTTGAGATTTTGCTCGACCCCCTCCCCCCTCCATTAATCTCACGTGAGATTTTTTTAAATGCATGGTTTTAATGTAAATAAGTTAATCTGTTATTGATTCCATTAGATTTATTAAAAAAAAAACAATTTGCTTATAATTGTTTACTTAATTTAACCCAGTTTTC